AAAAAAAAAAAAGACGACTTTAAAGTAATTTGTTCTGTATAGTTGCAAGATTGCTGTTTGATTTTTAAAAAAAAAGATTGAAGCTATTTAGTTTTGTCATCTCTTGTACAGTTGCCAACCATATAACTCAACGGAGTTTTTAAAAAAAAAGATTGAAGCTATTTAGTTTTGTCATCTCTTGTACAGTTGCCAACCATATAACTCAACGGAGCCAGCAAGCAGCTTGATCTTAAATCCTTCTGTTCAGTGTTGTGAAATATTAATGAAGGGACTACACAGTACTGAAATCTGTATAGGCAGTTCAAATGTCTTCCATTTGACTTTGCGATATTCAGTGCATTTAACTTAGCATACTCAACTGATGCATTTTATATTGTTATTTTATGTATCTTTTAGAAATGGAAGGCACTGATACCATTATAATTGGCTTTACAGTTTTGCTTTTATATAATTGTTTACCAGACAGCAGAATCATGTGCATGTTTAGTTAGATGTAAGTCTCATTGATTCCAGTCAGGCCTGCTCCAGATAAATAGGCTTATTCTTGAAATGTGAAGATTAATGTCAGCCTCACGGGGTAAACCAGATAGGAATCACAACCAGATGAGCTAATTCTTCTTTATTGTAAAGCTACATTGACAGAATCTTGCAAGTCTCAAAGTACAATACTATCACCCCCCACCCATCCCCTTTACAGTCGGAGAAACTAGGGAGGGTCTTTTCTGAGCCTCTTGTCCCGCCCACTATCCAGCTGCAGGCTATGCTGTCTCTTATCTGACCTTTCCCTTGGTAGCATCTCTTGGTCCAGTCTCTCAAAGTCTTTCCCACATACCATTACATATCACATTTATATAGTCATCCATCTCATGCAAAGCAACTCTGGGTTACAATATAATTCTTTCCACATAAAAGTTCCCACTGAAAGCTGCAATGTTGACATGACTGAGTAGTTTTGCAGGCAAGCACTTTTCCTAACATCTGCATTCCTGGGTTCATCCATTCTTTGATCCATTTCATTCATTCCTTTATTCATTCATTCATCCATGGGGACACAGAACTGTGACATCAGTGTTGAATGCAGAAGGCATTCAAAAGACCCTGACTATTGACAATGGGTTCAGTATACCAGTTAAAAAGTAAAATTATATGATTGGTAAGATTATTAGTAATCTCAAGGTTGGATATTGCAGTGCATTCATTGTAGGGTGGCCTTTGAAGACAGTCCAGAAATTACAGCTAGCTCAACTGGAAGAGTATAACATCAGTCCTATGTAGAAACCACAACCCTAGCTGCCAATTGCTTTCTGGGCCCAGTTCTTCACCACCCAGAGTTCCTTCTGGGAGATGGATGGCAATATAAATGTGTTAAATAAATAAATGCTCACTATAGTGTTCAAAATCTTATGTGGCTTAGGTCTAAGTTATCTGCAAAAACACTTGATACATACAGACCATCCTGTAGTCCAGGTCATGAACAGAACATCTTTTAGAGATCCCACCATGGATACACTTAGCATCAACAATCAATGAATTACAAGAGGACTCAAAATATATTTTTTACTCAGATATTATTGTATTATCTGATGCTATTTTTGTAAAAACCTAGAGCCATTGGGATTGGGCAGCATATAAACTTGCTATGGAAACAAATACATGGATTACGTGGCACTTTTTCAAGAAGTTCTTAATGACATTACAATGTACTTCCATATTATTCAGAAAGCAACCAGCAAATAGGGCTGTCCCAAACATTCTGTTCTGGTGCACCAACCAAGATGTTCTGCAGGAGATGTGCCAACACTTCCAAATCAGACAGCGCCCTATTCCAATCCAGAGAGGATTGCATGGAAGAGTTCACACGGGGCCAGTATTGTACTCAGAACCCAAAACAAGAGCTTGGCCTGCTTGGTGGGCTGGGAGGGGTGGGGGGCAGGGAAATTAGCCCTGGCTGTCCTGCTCCAAGAAGCTCTATATCAACTAGACTTTGAACAATCCTGTTCTAGTGCCTTTCTTTCGTTGTATTATAGTGTCCCAACAACCTGATACCATTTTTACAAATATATCTGAAGTAAAGAAACATGTATTAGCCAAGATATATTTGAGCAACTGGGATGATTCTGTGCTGTATTGTTTTTTTTTCTCTCTGAAATGTGTTGTTTGCAGTTAAAATAAATGAGGCACAAGAGAGAGGGGAAAATCATGTTTTCCAGTCAACCTCTTTATTAAAGAGCATTGATTTTTATACTGGAGTTATCTTGTTTATCTCATACTATTGTGCTTTCTTTTAGATGGGGAGCTTCCCATACAGAATGAAGAGGGATCATTGGAGAATGGACAGGCTTTGAGTTCCAGCCAAGTATCACTGCCAGCCCTATCTGAATTGGAGCCATGTTCAGTATCTGGGGATTCCTGTACTTATGAAGTACTCCCAAATCCAGAGATCATGGATGGAACAGGTAGCCTTTCAATTCCATAATGAGCCACTTAACATACAAATAACTTCTTTGAGGAGAGCCTTTGAGTCAATCTTGACTCCTGGTGACTACGTGGACAAGCAGTTTTCTGAGCAACAGTTTCCAAAAGTGGCTTGCCATTGCCTTCTTCCTAGGACTGAGAGAGAGTGACTGGCCCAAAATCACCCATCTGGCTTCATGTCTAAGGCAGGACTAGAACTCTCCTGGTTTCTAGCCCAGTGCCTTTAACCACCAAACCAAACTGGTGCTCCAAAATAAATAATGTCCTGTAGTGATTTCCTTAATACTTTAGTATTAACATATCCAAGCTGATATAATTATGGATTATATCCCATCTGTATGAATGTAAACTGCCAGTCTCTAATATAATTAATAAATATGAAGGATTAAAGCTCGGTAGGTTTGTGAATGTCAGTGGGTTAGTTTGTACAGTAGGTGACATCATTCTTTACTGAACTAACTTGCTAAAACAGTTTTATTACCTTTGTTTTGATGGTTGCATATATTTATATCAACTAAATTCAAAATAATTGCTTACAATCAGAATGATAAGATGAATAGAATTCCCCCCACCCACAAATAAAGGTTTTTAGTCTAAGAAAAGAAAAAGGTGGCTAAACAGGTAACCTTGTGCTCTCTTTTTAATTTGGAGCAACAGTTCTGGGAGCTGAGCACCAAATGCTTCTGAATTAGATCAGATTGGGGAAGACAGTAAGGGTACACCCAACCATTTCTTTTTCCAGTGTCTAATTTGTAGAATCCATTGTGGTTAGATGTAGCACTGATCACTCAATTAGAAAGCTGTAAAAGGATGAAGCATATGCACAGAAAGAAGTGACATCAAAGTTTCTTAGTATGATGGCTATACAGTATGGCGTCTCCACATTTCCAAGAAGCAGGGCATAGAAGAGCAGGAAAGGATTATTGTCTTTAAGATTGGCTGGTAGACTTTCCATAGACATCAGAAATATATGGAATGTCAGTCTGACCCAGTAGGCATGTTTCTGTTCTAGTACTTTAATGTTGTCTTTCCATTGATCTAGTTTCAATACAGTAAACTCATTTCATGCTGGAAGAATTCCTGCCCAAAAAAATAACAACCAGAAAAACATAGTTGGCATATTCATGAACAAGCCCACAGTTTTAGTCTTTGTTATATATGAGGAATTATCAGATTTCCCCCTCCCCCTCAGTCTATGGAGGTGACAAAGCACCATGTAATGAAAAGGGGATTTGATGTGTTTATGAAACAAAGGGCAAATTAGTTTGTTTTTAAATTCAGTGGTGTTTATTCTTACTGAAGAAATGTTTATAATAACTTGACAAGGCATGCTGGTCCTTGGCAACAGTTGTACAGCTTGAGTCGTACAGCTAAGCCACAAAGCGATGATTTTCTCAGAGTATTAATGCTGTCCTGAGCTGGAAAAGAAAAATAAAAACTCCCGCCACCAATGTCCAAGCCCAAGCACTCTTGATTTCTAAGATAAAATTATGTATCTGAAGATTATTTAATAGAACAGAGTGATGACGATGACTTTTAAAAGACTTGGAAAGCTGGCGAGTGAGTGAGTGAGTGAGTGAGTGAGTGAGTGAGTGAGTGAGTGATAGATAGATAGATAGATAGATAGATAGATAGATAGATAGATTTTAAAAATCCAGCTACTTTTAGCCTGATTCACTGAAGAACAATCATAGCAAGCATCCTTTGTTGAAACTTCTGCACTTCTACCTGTATTTCTGTGGGATGTGCAGTCATGAGGAAAGTATTCTAGGCACGCTGTCCAGCCTTTGAGGACAAGTAAATGTACCTAACAATATGCCTCAAAATCCTTTGCAATGTACAAGGTACCTTGGAAGACTGGTCAGTGAAAAAGACCTTGATGTAAAAAGCTTAAGTATTTCTGTAAATAGGTATTATATCCTGAATCACCCACAGACTCTGGAAAAAGGAATATTGAAGGTACTATTAGGATTCTAAAGGTGATGCGTTAGTGCTATTGCTGTCCAGTTGACTTCAGTAAGACAAGCTGAGCAAAAAAGGCCTGTGAATTTGTCCCTAGATCTTTATTTTATTTATGTATTTATTATGAAACTTGTATGCTGCCCATCTCCCCCAACGGGTGACTCTGGGCGGCTCACAATAACAAAAAAGGAAAAAGCACCA